ACCCTTTTAATTGCCCCTTTTTAACAGTGTGAATTAGCATTTTAATGATGGGTATGTAATTAGGGTGGAAGAGGCGATGAGAGCTGCGGGCTGCTAATAACAATGCCTCTCAGCTCAGAGATCACAGCAACAGGAGAGCAGAGCAGCTGCACCTGAGTGGCAGCACACAGTGAACCACTTAACAATGAACAGATGCTACGTATAAAACATGAATGCTGGGAGGACGCTACCGCGCACACACACACGGATACACAGAGGGTCCACTATGGCAAGACGGTGCACTTGGGTGCAGACATCTTGTGATTATTGGGGGTTTAACGGTACACCAAAGCCAGGGTTCATTACGAACCTCGGTATTGACATCACTGTTGGGTACAATTTCTGTACAAAAGGAAAAGTGCCTGATCAAAAACAGATCAATAAATAAAGATAAATATATATTTCAGAGGTAGCCTGACTTCACGTCCACCCGCTTGAAATGGAAACATACAGAATATACTCATAACCTACACAAAGCAGTTAGTGTCATCACAACAGACAACTCAGCTGTTGTAATGTGAGTGTATAAATATATACACACACACAAATACACACCTGAGGTCTCGGCTTAACGACGCCTTCGACCTAGACCGTTTTGTTATTATGTTGCGTCTACCAGTTTGTTTGTTTTTTCAGCATATTTCTATGTACATTTCGCACTGGAACTAGTTTTTAAGCGGAGAGGAGGAATACGTTGTCATGAGGCGCTATAGGCACAAGACGGCTTTGTTCACTTTCACCTGTTTTTTTGGCAATTTTTTGCCCTTCAAGTGCAAGTCAGACTCTGATGTTTCCATGTCCTAGATTATGACGTTACCACTGTGTTAGCGGAGGGCAGTGACTTATGTACAATACACAAGATCTGACTTACAAAAATCGAGTTACAACCCACTGTAGAAACAGAATTTCGACGCAAGTCAAGGAACCCTGTAGATATACACAGATAGATATATAAAATCCAAAAATGGTGTTTGAGCAAGACCCGCACTCATAGCATTAGCCTTGTGTCAGGAACTGGTGGGAAGGATTTTATTCCTAACTGCAGCTGCTCTTTTCCCAACACACTTCTATTAAAGAACCTCATTAGAATTACCATAGAAATGAGAAGGTGAAGAACAGTGGTCATTTTCTGTGTTTCTGTTTCAGAGAAACACACCGAGTTCTCAGAACATTCTGGGCCACTGTCCTAATTATGTTTCCCAGATGAGGTCACATTCCTCATGGTCCAATCATGGCGAGACATGAGTCGGTTATTAACAATCTGCAGACAAACAAACATAAAGGACTCCATTCAACGGCAGCCTTTTGTTTGCTCCTGTCATTATGAACCAGTACAGAGACACAGTAAACAAACAGAAAATACTAATTCAGCCCTGAGATTTTTTTTAACCGCACAACAACAGAAGATCTTTTTCTCTTTTCCCTTGAGCCAAACAGGACTGCAGCATGATGGCACAGCAGGCAATATTTCCATTAACAGACTATTAGTAGTATCTGATGTGCGTTCAGAAATCCCTCTACAGATGGCAGTAATGTTTGAGGGCGTTCAATTTGTTGTCATGGTGAACGCTGCAGCGGACCATCAGTAAAAACAGCCGTGATAATAAACCTTTCTTTCTAATGGATTAGTCTGGAGCAGAACGCACTACAGAACACGTGTTCTAAAGAAAAGAAGAAGCCAGCGGTCTTGTTTTCTCTTTTAAAGCTGTCAAATAAAACATATAATTTTGTTCACTTCTCTTTAACAGATCCAGTTCTGTTAGTAAACCAGCAGCAGAGTTCCTTGCTCATATATTGGTGTGGGTCTGATTAATGATGCAGAGCATAGCGGCGCACCATTGTGCGTTTAAAGGATGGTCCCCTTCAGACAACACAACTACACAAAAAAGGTTCCACACACACACCACTCTCTCCACTCAGTCTGCAGTTTCACACACAGGTAGACAAACGGCAGCTTGTTATTTCTGCCTGACAAATGTGTATTATCTGTCAACTCCAACATCTGTCACCTGCAGAATCTTAGGAGCAATCGCTGGAGTGCAGCACTTTGTTTGACTGTTCGCACTTCAACTTTTTTAACCTTGAGAAATGGAAGGAAAATGTAGGAGTATAGAGTGTAGGTGTTTGAATTCACACAACACAATGGCATTGTGCACACGTGTCTGCATCAAATCAACAAAAGTTTTAGTTTTATGTGTGTTTTCACCAGCTGTGGTTTGAAACAGCTTGAAGTGCTTTGTCAAACAACAGAAATCTGCCGCTCCAACCATTCTCCCAGTCACATGTGATAGGAATCTTTTCCCTTTCTAGGTTTCTAAGTAAACAGCAGAGAAAGCAAAACAGTCTTTAAACACAAAGACACTCAACAAAACATTATTTCATCCCAACACCAAACCAACAACAGAAAGATCAAACCTGAATGCTGTCTCCCTGGGGTTTTAAAGCCTCACTGAGCAGTGGAGCAGCTGATGAGCTGATGGCCTTCAGCTGTGAGAGGACCTGACCGGTCATCAGCACAGGTGAAAGAAACAGCTGTGGATTACTGGAGAAACTTTAAACCTCTGATGACATAAATACTTTACAAATAACACTTTATAAAATGTACATTTAAATTAGTTATTAATAATGTCAAACAATAACAGTAGCATAGATACAGATAATGTCTGTCAGTAAATAAAGAGTCCGACTGAGTGGACATGATAACACAGTAATAACACAGAACTAGATGGATTTAAAAACTGATGAACAGATGAGGAAAGACAATAGTCTGAGAAACTGCAGAGAAACCTGCAGTTCATATGTTGCACTGACCAGACGGTGGCCAGATGACATGTTTGCGTTCACTCTGACTTTTCCTCTTATCAAGGCTGATATTTCGCAGCGGCTCCTCATCCACGTTGACAATAGGAGGAGCTGATTCTGCTGAAGGTCACGGTGACATCTCCACTGAATGAATGGCATTTAGAGTACATTTTTTATTTCATTTTTTAACATTTTCTTCGAAGGGCATTAGTCTGTCTGAACTCACTGTGCCCATGTGGCCAGAATTATAACTGCTGTGGAGCATATGTATTTCACTGCAGCTGGTTAAACCTACAGTAATAACCCCTCACTGTGGTATGACCCTCATGTTGACACACTTAGCTTAAGTTAGCTTGTCAAACGTTTATTTTTAATTTAATTAACTCTTTGCTCAAGTTAGAGCTGTGAACTAATCATAATCGTAATTTATAATGATTATTCATGATTAATCAACGTTAATAGTCATTCCTAAATATGACAAAAGCCTTTTTTCTGTATATTGCTGGAATAGAAAGCTCAATAACAGCAGGAGGTTTGTGTTTCATTCCTGTTTCTTCCAAATGATGGGATTGTTAATATGGGAAGGTCAGTCAAATTTTGCAAAAATAGAACTCAAATCTTACCAACAATATGTAAAAGCTGTGTACATTTTTTTCACAGAGTTGGTGGATTTCAGTGGTTACTGTGCATCTTGACGGCGGCTGTATGTCAAGAGTTGTTTTCAAATCTTTGGTGAAGCTGTTGTCCTCAACAATATTAATCAGTCTACAGCGCCTCACAATCTATTTGACATTTGTGTCAGTTAGCTTGTCAGTCGTAGACTTATTTTCTGCCTTGCGCTCGCTGAAGCTGGTCTGATGCGCCTGACTGGAAGTTGAAGCCTCCGCTGAACAGGATGGTACGGTATTTTGAGTCTACAAATAATAATATAAAATAAAAAAATGTCCAACTCCGATCAGATATAATTGACATGATTAGTTTGACACAGAATCTGCCAATATTCACTCTTCACTGATTAAATTCCACACAGCAGGAAGCAGTTGATGAACTGATGGCACACAGCTGTGAGAGGACATGGGTGAGGCTGAGGGGAAGGGCGGGTAACCAGCACAGGTGAAGGAAATAGGTGTTAATCATGAGAAGAAGCAGAACTGTGTCTGTCACAGATCTGTCTGTAGACAAACTTCAACAAACCACCGACCAACAGTGATTACAACCGATTTTGACTGTTTTTATGCTGTTATTACATGAAAATTCATAAATGTGAACAAGTAAAAAGTACATGTTACTACTGGTGTTTTTTTTAAAACTGTTTGTTCTAGTCCTCTTCCAAAGGAACATGTCTCTTTGTGCTCCCATCCAAGATAATCAAGTCATCTTTGTCCACATGCCTCTCTCTATCTCTCCTCTGGTGCCCTGACCTTTATCTTCAGCTAAATCTTATTTGCCTTCCGGACTTTATGGGCTTCTCCTCTCATTCATAATCTATTTGCAGTGTCCTACAGACTTTTCATTGCGATGACATTTGACAAAAAAACCTTAATGGTACGATATTTCAGTCTCTGTATTCATTTGCGGGGCGACTTTGAGGAAATCCTTTTTAGGAGCAGCGGGCAGATGGATTGTGAGCAGCTTTGCTGCTGAGACATTTCACTATAGTTCAAGGAGATTACCTTTTTGGATGTGTGCTCCGTGAAGGAGCTGTACATGTCAGAAAAACAGCCCAGCAACTACTGGACGATTGTCTGAACCTAAATACATCCAGTTTGACAGTTTCTATTTTTGACGATACAAATTGACTGGACTGAATTTTGAATAACAGTCAGCCTTACTTGCCATTCACACTGGATCAATGATAATTTGACTTTAGGTGTTTACATTTATTTTGTGAAGCTTTTTTCTATTTTCCAAAATACCTCTGGTTGGTAAGTCAGACTTTTAGAAATTATTTTAAAAAGTGTCCTTTGTTTATGAGGAAGAATTGACAAGTAGCTGTCAATAGATTAAAATCTTTAATCAGATTAATTACAGGGTAGCTGTTGATTAATCCCAATTAATCATGGTGATTGTAATTTGTCATGATTAATCAGGACAAATCAACACGCCTGAAAAACACAAAAAAAACCCACAGGGAACAGGAAGAGAAATAACTGCATGTAGGTTGTTGAGAATGTGAATTTTATTTGTGACTAATCCGAATGATGGAATTATTAATATGAAAAAATACCAAATTGCAGAGCTTGATCTGGAATCCTATCAAAAATATGTAACAACAGTGTACTTTCATCATAGAGTTTGTGGATTTTAGTCACTAATCTTCACCTTAACAGTGGCTGCAGAATGGGTTAGGGTTTGCTTTCACCTCTTCAGTCGTCGTCCTCAACAGTATTATTCAGTCTACAAAAAGGTTGATGATTGTAAGGTGGTGTCAGGGGGAAGTGTAGCAGAGCAGCACCGCATGGCTGTGTGTAAGGTGAAGGTAGAAACTAAGAAAAGAGGTGTATTGGTGAGAGATTAGAGTGGAGTTGTCTTGGGGATGGAGATGTTCTACCAGAAGACTGGAAAGAAAAGGACTGCTGAGATGGTGAGGGAAACTGGAAGGAAGCTGTTAGGTGTGGCTTCAGATCAGAAATAAGGACAAATGGAGAGATGACACACCTGTGGAGGTATGGATATGTTAAGGACAGAGTACAGCAGACATTTTGACCTTTTTTTGAGGGTCAAGCAGGACATTAGCTAGGTGTGCTGTCTGAGTGACCCATGGGTTCAAGGTATGGGTCAGATCAGCTCTGAGCCCTATTTCGTTTGCTATGTTGATTGACAGCTTGACAGATGACATCAGGCAGGAGGCTTCGTGGACCATGATGTTTGCAGATGATGATGTCATCCATGGCAGCAGTAGGGAGCAGGTGGAGAGAAGAGGAATGTAGGTCAGCAGGTGCAGGACAAAATACACGTGTGTAAAGGAGAGTGAAGCGAGTGGAACGATGAAGGTGGATGAGTTCAAATACCGGGGTCAAACATCAGGAGTAATGGACAGTGGACAAAAGGTGCAGGAGGTGAAGAAAAAGGTGCAGGCAGGGTGGACGCATGGAGACTGTGTCAGTGGTGATTTGTGACAGAAGAACAGCAGCAAAGTTGAAAGCGATGGTTTATAAGACAGGAGTGAGACCTGCTATGATGTACGCCTAGGAGATAGAGGTTGTAGGTGATGAAGAGGCTGAGATTTTCACCAGGATGTGACCAGGATGGACGGGATTAGAAATGAGCTGTGGGACGGTTAAGATGGAGCAGTTTGGAGATAAAGTCAGTGGCCACGTTGACATGGTGTATATATTGGACAAAGGATGTTGTAGATGACATTGTCAGATGTCGTGACAGAGGACATGGAGATAGTTGGTGTAAAACAGAGGAGGCAGAGGATGGGGTGAGATGGAGGAAGTGGATCCTCTGTGGCGACCCCTGAAGGAAAAAGAAGAGAATATAATTACAGTACGTGAACATTAGTGCTGACTTAATGGCCCGTTTTCTGTCATTCTAGATTTGACTGGGTATACATTTCCACCAGTTCCATTCTCATATGATGTACCATACAAATAGTATTGATTTGAATACTAGAAACGTTTCTGTGGCAAACACAGGAATCCGTGCCCCCCACACCCCCAGCCCCACCCCTCCAAACACCCAGAGTTGTGATGCTGCACTGCAATGTGAATAATAGGACGGTCTCTCTCTGTAGCCTGCAGTCATGGTGGGGAGTGTTGGTGGTGGGGGGTTTGAATCAGTGACATTCTTCAAGGCCAGTGTAAGATTAAAGAGCCGGGATGTTGCGCCTCTGATCATATATTCACAAAGATACCCTGTGAAGAACATATCTATAAAGAGAGGCTGGCTGAAAATAAGACCACTACTCCTGAATATTTGTGGCAGCCCATTATACATGTCATATAAACGGCCCCTAACTGAGTAGAAAAGATTAGACTCCAAAGAGACTTTTTAGTTACCCTTCCTTTTTTTCCTGTTTGCCACATTTTTGGTATCACAGCCCATTGGCCGACTTTATCAAGGAGCACAACTTGACATTATATCTAAGGTTTAATTGATTAATTTAATTTAATTTAATTAAAAGAGCTGTTTGAGTTTCCATTTTTTTTATTTTAGGAAAGCGAAGAGAGCTGTTTGAGTTTCCATTTTTTTTAGTTTTTTTTTTCTTGCTTTTCTTTCTTTCTTTCTTTCTTTCTTTCTTTCTTTCTTTCTTTTTTATTTAACCTTGTATTTTCACACTCCCACAATGTTTGTAATAAAACAGCCCTGGGTCTCACTCCCAACATGGGCTGTTTGTGCACAAATAAAAAACTATCGATAGATTTTACCTCCGTAGTGTAATATTGTCTTTTCCTGCCCTGTGACTCATGAGCAAAAAGTCTGTGTTCACAGGACGGACACACACACACGGTACAGTAAAGAGAATTATGATGAATCCATCTTTCATCCTGAGGTTGCTTCACTTGTTATGGCCTTGGGTCCTTCAGTAGTCACAGCACAGTGGAACATTTTAATGGCTTGCTGTTCTGCATGTCCTTCAAATGAAATGTTTCCATAATAGATTCTCAGCAGTACATCTACTGTAGATGCAGGAGGTTTTCAACAGGCGGTCTGTGACCCCAAGGGGAACCAGGCAGGTACTGCAGGCACAGTTGTAAACTTGGTTTGACATTTTTTAAAGTTTTCCCTATATATTATCTTATTATATGCAATTATTGAGTGTATTATTTGAATAATTAACTCGTTACTATAACCATTTATTTGAACAAATGATAATATTATAGGAAAAATAACAAACCAATAATATACATATATATTTCATATATAATATATATATTTGTTAAATTATTTGGCTACATATGATTAATTCATGTCCAAGACCCCCGTTCACACATATAATAATCCCTGCTTTATGTTTTACAAAGGCACGTTAATTAAAAATTGTCCTGGATTGTAGATTATTATGGGACAAACGGCTGAGCTGCAGAGAAACATTACAGTCATAATCAAGCTGCTTTTCCTGCCATTGTCTCTGTTCAACATTTCCTGGTTATATGTCAGTCACCGTGTCTGTAGTGTCTGTGCTGCGGCAGTCATCCACTCTTTTACCATTAAAACATCAATGTCTCGTTTTATTCAAACGGCACAGGGAAGATAACGGTCGTTGTGTGCGTGCATATTAATTAACTGATAATGAGCCGATAAGGCTGCGGCTCCATCTGCAGGTGTAGAACCGCTGATCAATTGCTGGTGAAATGGTGTAAAATGTCCATCTTTTATCCCACTAGTGAAATTAAAAACCTATTTAGTGCCACGTTTCCTAACAAAGTGCTTTTTCATTTATCTTCTCCAGCACATTATTCAATCACACTTTCCATTTGTGTAATGGTAATATTTTCATGTCATTTCCCGCTGCCTCTGAGATGGGTATTTTTGATATGCTTTGTGAAATGGCTATTCCATTCCAGCTCCATTCACTGGCTGGTAATAAACTTACAGCCTATATTTCAGATTAAATGTCTTCAGCAAATGGAGCCAGGCTCTGAATTCCCACCAGCAGCCAGGAAAGATCACTTCTGCTCCCTAGTGGCAGCAGGAAACATTACATCAGCTTGGCCTAGTGCCTCTAGTGGCACAGTCTGGAATGTGCTGGGGCATTTCTGCAATTCTTGGCATCAATGCAAGAAGTACTCGGGGTGTCCCAGTGAATAAAAGTGAAGTAAATATGTGAAGAACGTTCTTAAAGACCTGCAGTCGAACTGCAGGCTCTTTAAAGAGTCCAAAATTGTTGGTGAGGATGAATACATGTGTAATGATTTTGATGAAAGGGACGCAAGGAGAAAACATGCCATTTCAATCATTATATTGGGCACAAAATAGAATAGAATTTTCATTTTGGCCCGATTTATTCCCTTATGTTTGATTTGTTCAGTGTGGTGTTGACTGCCCTGACAACACAGAGGTGGACAGACAGCAGTGCAGCAGCAGTCTCCTCCTGCTGACAGGCCCTCCTTCACCCAGGACAGGCCAATCTGTGCACACTGAGACACAGACACACAAAGCCCATTTCAGTCTCCACACAGCCCATTTGTCATGTCAGATAGCCTCAGAGAGACACAGCGGTCAAGTTATAGAGGTGATTGTATCGAAGTGACCTCAATGCAATGGTCATAAATTGCCTGTTTTAATGGGTGGCGCTAAATCCTGGTTTCATAGATGGAAGTCAAAAAAAAAAAAAAAAACAGAGGTTGGAGTCACCTGACCCAGGTAGAAGGAAGATAAATATATCTTTTCAGAGATTAACTTACTTCTTGTAGACAGAGACGTTAAGACTTAAGGACTTGGTGGAACTCTGCTGCAACTGTTAGAATGTCTGCCTTTTCTTTGTCTGCCGCTTCAGTGGATTCTTCTGCAGATGTCTCCTGGGTGGATGTGGACGTCTTGGGCCTTTCCTCAGGCTTTTCAGAGGGATCTGTCACCGTGGCCCCTCGGCTGGTGTTACAACCCATGGTCTGCTGTGTTGCTGCCACAGGGGGAAAAACACAGCATTAAAAGACTGATCCTAAGATCTCAAATGTAAGAGTTGTGAGTCCTGGTACCTTTGAGTGGAAGAAAATGCTCAGTCCTCCTTTGGAGTCATCCACCTGAGTGTGTGTTGACGTTATGTTATGTCGTTGTGCTCGGCTCGTTCTGCCTCTTTGCAATTATGTCCTAAGCAACGCTGGTTTAGAATTAACTCAGAAGAATTCCAGGACATGGTTACTGATAAACACTCGTGGGGAGATCGTGTGTCACGCCATGGTTACCAATGAATAACCACTATGAACCTGGGAGTTTCCTTTACATTCAGCCACAAAAGATAATCTGTCAGATTAAGTCACTGCAAATTTAAACATAGCAGCAGATTTTAAAAAATAAAATCAGAACCACAAAAGACATTTGATCACGAGTTTAGCAGATATTCTGCTTTGGAAGATTGAAAATAAGAGTTGACACGAAAACATAAAATGTAGTCACTTTATATTGATTGGTCTGTGGACACGGCTGCCCAGTAAAAACAAGTTCACATAAGATCCGTGAGCTTCGTAAAAAGTGGACAGAACATGATGGGTTTTTACACAGAGCAGCAATGACAGTGATTGTTCCAGAAAGACGATGAAAACACAACAATCTGTACCAGAACAAACTGCTGTGACACAAAGACAAGGAAAGAAAAGCTCACTTAACAGCAAGATGCTAAAAAAACACTCTTGAGTTAGCAGTCTCAAACCCCCGGCCCCAGGACATCTTCTGGCCCGCCCCCTCACCAACTGCACTCATTATCTTATATTATTTAATATTTATGTTAAAAAAAACTACTTTTAAAAAAAAAATCTCTTTTGCACTGAATACTGATGTGGCCCACCGAAGAAGTAATGGCAGCAGTTACCTGCCCCCCCCCCCCCCCCCCCCCCTCCGACCCCTGTTCCAAGTGCTAATGTGATGGACATTTGAAAGCTTTTAGGAATATAAAGTAAATAAATACAATACAAAATACAAAAAGAAAAACAATACATTCATGCATGGGCTGAAACAGTCAAGCGTGGACATTTACTTAAAGCTCTCACTGTGACGGTAACATACGCTGTCATGTAGACATTTTCACATTTCCTTGACGGTACAGTACTCAAATACTGTAGTAGTATTTGTCCTTTTCATGTCAACGTCAGATACCTCCATCAGAGAGTGGCTCAGAACAACAGCCTCCTGTGACCAGGAAGCTGGAGGAAGAGAACAATAAACACCTGGACAATGCTAATGGTAACGCTAATTAACATACCAATGCAATGATCTCTCCCTGAAGTGCAGTGACCAAACAGAACAAGGTTGTGGGCAGAAACATATAAAAGCAGGTACATCGTTAAAAAAGGGGAAATTACAATTCTCTAAGTTGTAACTTTTTTTAAAAGGAAGTAGAATATACAGTTTTAAAAATGTTTAAAATCACCTGATCAGCTGTAGGTGCATATTGATAGTATTATAAACAAGACATCCCTGTATAATATAATATAGGAATGTCTGATATGAACTTTTTGCCAATATCTGATAATGCGATATTGTCCAAACACTTAATTTCTACTTTCATGTGCTGTGCCACGATGACAAAAATTTACTTTAACTTCAAAACTATTTTTAGGTCACATCATCTGGGCGAAAAAAACAAGCTTTGCGTTATACGGTTTTCATTATCTGAAAAAAAACCAATAACAATTCTCACCGATATCTCATAATTACCAATATTGCAGTAATCAGCATTACGAAGGTCCTAGGTTCAAACCCCAGTGCAACTATGCACTTAATCCTCCTAATTTAAGTCACTTAGGATAAGAGCATCTTAAATGCATAAATGTAAACTGTAGCTATGCGTACATATAGTTACAGTGATACAAAGCACCTAAGTTAAATGCTGCACTGTCTTGAGTTTCTAAAAATTAAGATTTCTTTTCCAATCTTTCGCCATGCTCCACAGTCGTTTGTCCAGCGCTGACCCCTCTTTCTGTCGAGGCCTTTTGGCTGAAGGACTGTCTTCCAGGTTCTCATCCAGTGGCAAAGCGTAGCAACATGTGGGCCTCTGCCTGCCTGTTCTGACCATGTCATTGATCTCATTTAGCTCCTGTGTTAAATAAAGGCAATTTAAAAAAATGTAAAATCTGGATGACCCACTGTGAATGTGACAGTAAGACAGCAATGACAAACATTTCCTCTACACACCTCTCTGGGACTTGAATTAATGTAAAAGGAACGGCCATTATTAATTGGGGGGGTCTTTGTGAGCAGTGAGACACTGAGAGGGGTCTTCCTGGGCAGCACCTGCTGGTGGGGATGGGTCATTTGTCGGGGAAATGGAGAGAGAGGAGGAGTATCACTCTGTAAAAAAGGGTGAAAATAGTCTTCAATGAGTCGGCACTACGCAGTGTCGCTGAGTCAAACACTGACAACAAAGAAGTAGAAAATGTTCTACTTACTCCAGAGTTAGAGGTAAACTGATTGGCAAAGGTCTCCACCTTTTCCACATAGACCTGGTTGTAAAACTGGAATATATTATCTTTGTGATCCACAGATGGTGTGATGGGAGTTAGAAAGAGGCTGCTGTGGTCTTCAACACCTGAAATAATAATAATAATAATAATAATAATAATAATAATAATAATAATAATAATAATAATAATAATAATTCACAGTTGTCAGTAACTTGTTTTTTCTCTACTAACACTAACTATACTTAGTAGTTCATCATTTAATCATCCGGCTTTTGGCACAAATATTCTACAGATTATATACCATATCATACTATTTATTGTCCATGCCATAAATAAATACCACAAATTATACAACAGTCTAGACTAGGTCAAAGATTGAACTACAAAAATGTCAGAGTAAAAAGGATCACATTTTAACTATGTTGTCCTCACAAACCATTAGTCGCCATCTGGTGGCTGTCTCTAGCTAGTGTTCAATTTATTCTTTAAATAAAAGGGATTTTAGTTTTTTTTTTAATTAAAGGTCTCTTACCGCTGGTAGATGTTTCCTCATTTCCCGCTGAGGTTCCCAGCTTATCTTTGCAAACCTTGTGTGATAAATAGTCTTAGTTACTAATAATGGTGCAAAAAAGCAGAAGGGCAATAAACAATTACAATAACTACAGCTAAGATCATCAGCTTGAATGTAGATTTGCTCTTGATTTGGAACGAATCAAAAATAAAAGAAATACAATAGAGAAACCTACACTTGGTTCAAAGATTGACTCATAGTGTTCCCTGATGCACTTCAAAGAAATCTCCAACTTGGTGACCTACAACACAGAAATCAGTTCATTATGAATCAATGCGAGAACGACAATGAAAACACGTCATTATTGTTGTCAAATACAAACCACATACAAACCCACAATGGTCACCCGGTTACACTGTGAACCGTTCTTAATGCAATCTTGTATTTGTGGCGCCCTCAAAAGGATAGAGTGTGAATAGCATGTCATTTTAAAATTACAAAGCTGTTATTTATAGATCAAATCTGTGAAAGGCCATCATAAAGGATTGACTAAGACAAGGTCTCTCTAACATTCATTCACTGGTCATATAACTAATGACATCATAGTCTGATGACCTCCAACAAATCAGGAGGAGGAGAAAAGGTGATTTAAGCAACAAGAGTCCTAATCAGTTCAAGATGAGAAAATAAAAGAACACTGAAATGTCCTGTGTCTTAAAGACGTTTGATATCAGATGAAGTTAAATTACTCTTACGAAAGTACACCAGAGAGGTCACTTTCTCAGGTGTATTCTAACTTCAGACATGCAGCAGTGTGTCAAATCTCACCTTAGTTATGATGTAGATGGCGCACATGAGCAGGTGGTCCAGGTTCCTGTCAACCATAATTTCGCTGCAGTTCACCAGAGAGTACTCAAAGCAGGTCCAGATCTTCAGCCTTTGTTCGTCACATATGTTCAGGGAGGAGCAGAGCTTTAACAGACGTTTACTCATCAGAGCGTACACCTGAGGTGGAGAAGAAGACGATAAAACAAACGCAACATAATCAAGGAATTATCATTTTTATCCTCATCTGTGAAACAATATATATTTTTTCCATAAAAAGAAAATCTTTAATAGACTCACGTCACGAGCAAACCGTCTGAGAGAGTTTCTCCTCGGAGGCACATCGACAGCTGGAAATGAAAAGTGAGAGTGAATTATTTGTCATTGTGACACAGCACACCACTGCACACACACAATGATCTCGGCTTTTAACCCATCACCAAAGTGAACAGTGGGCAGCTTTAAGGGCCCGGGGAGCAGTGTGTGGGGACGGTGCCATGCTCAGAGCACCTCAGTGGTAAGTTGGCAGCTGGTGGACTCGAACCTGAAGCCTTCTGGACCCAGGTCTGCTTCCTTAACTACCAAACCACCACTGCCCTGAATAATTATGGTCAGCACTAACAGAATTGGAAAGATAAACATTTAATAAAATTTAGATTTTTACAAATGACTAAAACACTTTATATTAGGGGGCTTGTTCAATTTTTAGCTCATACTGTGGTAAATTAAATTACAGTCATAAATGTTTTCAATTATTTTGAACAAATGTCTTTTCTCACCTAAGTTAGTGCATAGTTCAGTCAGCACCTCAGTGTTGTTTAGATCTTCACACTCTGACGGGGGCATCGCCTATGAAACAAACAAAATCCTTGTCAAATATATGTCAACAATTCTTCTCACTCACTGACTCACTGCAGTATGGAAAAAAAAACATTTCAATGTGTTTTATGTTCTTCAGACCTGTAGGCAGGTGGGCAGTTGGTTTTTGTTGTCTTTGATGATTTTCCACAGCAGTGAGTTCTTGGTCCAGACTAACTTCACCAGAACTTCCACTCTGGTTCGGGCGAGGTGGTGGGTGGCAGAGTGAGATAATGTCACACCAGGCTGAAGGACCAGACTAAGCACCTGACCCAGAAAAGAAGCTAAGGTTTAGACCACTGGTGTCCAATATTTTGGCTTGAGCATTTTGACATCAGAAATTCTCTGGCAACCCGAGACACATTTGTATTTATTTTTGTTTTCAGAGGTTTTGATCATGCATGTGATTGCAGCTGTCTATCAAGATGCACCATCTTAAGATATTTTTGAATGCTGCATTATAGTTTAACTTGATTTATATTCATGGAAGTTAAAGAATACGGAGTGTGTGGTGTTTTTACATGTGGGGTCCATGGTTTTCTAAGGTTGAAAACCACCGGTTTAGAGAAATTAGTCAATTATTTCTACATCAAATGTCAAAATTAAAATTTTGAAAATAACAAATTTTCAGGTCTAACATCTATGTATAAACTAAACAGAATTTTTTTTTCTTACAGGGCACTTACCTGCAAGTAATAAAATGATTCCATCTTCAAGATCTGCAGAAGCCGATCACATGACAGATGGTTGGTACACATAGTTATCTCCAGGCAACTGGTCACCAGACAACTGTTGAAAAGGTCATCACCCAAGGTCCTCTGCAACAAAAACATATTTGTATTCAGTTACTTAAATTAATTTTACTAGTCTAAAAGTGACTACTAGATTATGCCAAAAACCACAATGGTAGTTTCAGATAACGCCACAAGAGGGTAGTGTTTTCTCACAGAGACGTCTTTCTTCCTCTTCTGTTCTTGAAGGACCAGATTCTCAAGGATGCTGTAGTACCAGAATGGAACCTCGTGGCAGCATTTTTCCACCAACTCTGCAAACAGTACCATATTGTAAAATCCATGTGTCAGTAACAACACTTGGTTCGAGGTATAAATGAAGAGTGGGGAGGGGGCACAGGTGTCTGTTCACCCCTTATGGTCTGAATGTGTATTGCATTGGGTTGAGTTTTCAAGGAAGTGAACTCAGGACAACATTGTTTGTGGCTGACAGATGGTTGTTTTCAGCCGCCTCCTCCGTTTGTCCAGGTTGACATAGACAGACTTATTTCCCTTCTTTCAAACAATCTATCTTCTCTGCTAACAATACAAACATTTTCAGCTGGCTCTCCTGTGTTGTCTTTGTACAGTGGCTGTCTGGTGTACAGGTCAGGTCAATCCACTCTCTACTCTGTCTGTACAGTGTAGAAAACATTGCTCTGTTCGTGGTGTTCGCGGGGACGGCCAATCACATGCAGTTGTATTGATAGTGACTACACAGCAGTGGCTAAATACTGGTAGGGACGTGCCCCTATGGTGTTTCTGGGTTCAAAGTAATTTAGTATTTGGTGTTTGTTGAAAATCAAATTTTCAGAGGCACCAGTATTATTGGTGAAGGCATTCTCATATAGTAGTTTGCCTAAGTGGCGCTGCAGAGGGGTGGGGTGGGGGGGGGTGGGGTGCTAACATTTGAGGTAACCACTAACTGATTCAGGTCTTTGTTTTTAAATTTTTAAATGCAATGGCATATCGAAACTTGTTTTTTCGTACAGAAGTATTCCTGTATGTAAGGTAATGGACTGAGTTCACAGGACCATCACGCCAAGGCCACCAGTACATAACAAGGCAAAGGTGAGTCATCAATAATAAAGAATAACAATGTAACAATGTTTGTAACTGTTGTTGTTTTCAGTGACTGTAATTAAATCTTCCACTGAATCCTTAATCCTCACATTGACTCTCGCCTCATCTCTTTGTTAAAAACAGTGATGATTTTACCGTACCTTTGGTCTTTTCATCCACTGAATTGTCCTCATAGTGCAGTTGAAACATGTGCAGCATGTTTTTTAGTCTTTCAGTGATTTGTTCTGTTGGATCTTTGGTATATGATCTGGAACGTGACAGGATGTTTTGTTATCATATGTGACATAGAACAACAAATATGTACAGAACAACAACAGCAACAACAATAATGTCAAATAATGTCATATAAAAACATTGACTCAACTATCCAATGTGTTCATTAAACCAAGGTGTAGTAATTGGCCCTTTTCTCTTAATCAGAGAAATTGTTAGTCAGAACCAAATGCTGGCATCAGTATAAATGAGCAGCTGCTTAATGACATCAATCACACATGGAACAACATTATCTGCCACACTATGAGCAGCACAGTGGGATGCAGGCACTAACCTAAATATAGCAGTGAGGCGGTCACTGGGGCCATGATGCATGGTTGCCATGGTGAGAGAAGTCAGAGTACAGATGGAAACCTAGACTTAAAAATAAATTAAATAAAGACAGAGAAACAAGTGAAAAGACAGACAGGAATTTGAAATGATATGAATATTGCACTGTGTAATGAAACAATAAGAATAAAAATAAATGTATCAGTGATGAAATGCATTATAGATGCCGTTCTCAGTTCAATTCCATTCTAGTGCCAAATCTTGTGTGTTAGTTTGGATCACAGAGTCTTCACTAGGCAGATGTAAATGACCTCATGGGGGACATTTACTACAGTCTGCATTATTTCTGAATGATGCTTGGTTTTACCAATTACCGTTGTTTTTTTGTGGATTTACTGAATGTCAGGGTAAAAGAACATACATACACAGGATCAACTTCAAGTCAATGTTTCATTTTCCATCAAAATGCTTACTCTCTCCGCTTTTATCATATGATTCAATAGTTAACCCATTTTTTTTGTGATACAGTTGTGTCATTTTTTTCGTTGTCAAAAATGTTAATCCTGCTGTCAATCAAACTCAACGACCAATCATAGTCACGCTTTCGATTTTGTTCTTCCACGCTCTATTTTCTGACTACTTTTACCTCCTTTGTTTATTCTGTTGAACATGAGGGAATTGTAGAACAGGATAAAATTAAATATGACTTAATTAATCCCACTGTGCATTCACATATTTACGTTCACAGAAAGTGTACACGCATGGAAAAAAACCGTTAAGAAGATATCACTAAGAACACACAAGAGCCAGTAACTGGGAGGTTACAAAGTGAGAAAAAAAAAAAAAAACTATTATCCGCTATTTCCGCTTCCGTGACGTATATGGATTTCACTTCCGCAACATCCAGCGCGCGAAACAGCCACATTTTTCTTCCCACTGTAGTTGTTTGTTTGTCAAGTTTTTATATGCGGTTTATATGATCACAGCTTATTTTAAATACCCGACAATAAAAACAACAGTCGCCGATAGGACTAAAGAACGTTATTAGGTACCGCTGAAGTAGCCCACATAAACGCGATTTACTTTTCACTGCTATAACTCATACCGCAAGCTACTTTCACAAAACTGTAGTATGGCGGAACATAGTTTAGTTACTTATCAAAGTCTACAATTCAAGACTGGGATTACATGAAAACACAGACTGGATACCTACGTGGTTACTGTAATGCCGCCACGCTCCGTGCGGATAAGAGCTGCTCAAACAGTGAAAAAATATTGAAAAAAAATAAATAACGTGACGACTTCCTGCTTTTGACTGATGCTCGAACTAAGGACCACCCAAAATTTAGAATCAAAGTTAAAAGATTAAAGATTTTTGTTAATTTTTACATTAGGTGAGTAAACTTCACAATTAAGGTTTATAGCATATGACACGGCTTTTGTTCATGTTAATCACCAATGCCAGTGTACTAGTGTACACACATGCAAATTTTATAAAATCACAGCCGTAGACAAAACAAAAGACCATGGCACCCTATTTGGATAGTCAGAATATGTTTAATAAAAATAATTAAACCTCAATTTCCTCTATAGAACTTCATAGAAAGTAATCCAATAAATTACAAATGACTTAAGACTCGTTTTCCTGCACTACATAAAGAATTATTTCAACTACACGGACCACAACTTGCAAATATTACAATTGTTCAATTAAAACAAAATGAAAACAAAAAAACAGACAAACTGACCGCGTGACATTAAACTTATCAAGCTTGAAATAAAATACAAAGCAGATAAGCTAGTAATGTCATCTCAGTGATTATGTGTATGCAATCTGAAGAAAGACCTCCCTGTACAGCAGTAGTGTGTCATCGATCCTCTTGCATATTGGTCATTTTCAAAACTGAATGTGTAATTAACACGTCTTTTTTTTAACACTGCTTCACCAGCACTAGCAATGCTTTTGTGATTCCTGGTACAAAACACCCTTGCAGACAAAATATAGCAAATTAAAGCAGAACAATTCCAATCCTATGTTTACCATTTCTGTTGCCATTTTGAATCCATAAGAGGCTCAGCACAGGCATCAACCCATCACTGGGGGGGCAACAGAGGGCAGAACAAACCATTAATGTCACCTACAGCAGGAGTAACAACCACTGAGTGTTTGCTTAAGGGCACTACAAGTTTTGAAAGAGCAGAAGTGCGGATATACAAAATGACAGTGGCATGTGTAAGTTCTTCACTTAAACATAGAAAAATACCACATTGTTAGTTATAACAGAAAACAAATTTGCAATTGCATTGCAAGCAAACCTATTACAAGGTCATTATAACAGGCATACAAGAAAACCACTTTTAAAGCAACACTCGGAGACGTTTTAGGTCTTTGTGTTTCGACAACACGGTTGTTTATGGTTAAACCCACCAGAGAACAATGCTACAGCAAAACCTGCAAGCTAACCAGACTGTGTTTTTTCAATGGGCACCTTGAACTGAGGAGCAGCGCTCTGTCATCACCAGTCCAAACAAAAGATCACATTTGACTTTTCATCACCTTTAACAGTCCACTGTGGAACAGCAGTCCTAGAGCAAGCACTTGTTGTGCTAGAGAAATTTACAAAAGGTACTTCGGCTTGAGTGAACTCCAGTGTTACAGCTTACAGTGAACACATGCACAGGTGACAGACAAGCATGGCTGACAGACAGAGGAGTTAGATGACAGTGAGGTACAGGATAAGGGCACTTCTACATCTACTGAAACACCATTCATCAGCAGAACAGAGTCCAAGATGAAGTGAAAAACACAACAATGTCCCAAACACTCAGAGACACACTGGCTCCTTTTTTTTAAAGCCCTTCCTGAAATCAGCCAATCTGGCATTGTGTTAAATTTTATAAGACAAGCACAGTCATTACAATCTAAGCCAGGATTTGAACTGTTATGTGCTTGTGCCACCCATTACAAACAAAACTTTGGTAGACAGGTGATCATGCAAGACAAAATTTATATCCTAATGGGAAAAAACAAACAAACAAAAACACTTTATACAGTGTGATTATACACTGTGTTTATAGTACACAAGACCCCTTCTAAATGCACAACATTCTGGTGGGAACATGATGGAAGAAGTAGATACAGGTGAGAGGCCTGGCCAAGAAGAAATAACACAGTGGAAGCTCTCAGTACAAAAGAGAAAAGGTCTTTGACACAATTTCCAACAGACAAACATATGCACATGTACATTTGCACAGTGAAGCCAATCTACTGAGCACAGTTGAGGTATAACTGCAGTCAAATACGCCGGGGCATTAGTAGTATAATATCCAGGACTCTGAGAACACACACAAAAAAACTGTCAAGGAACTCAGAGGGCTGATTTTGGCACACAGTAAAAGGTTGTTTTAATTCTCCACACACTGACACTTAAATAAAAACAAAACAAAAAACAAAAAAAATAATACAACAGAAATGGACACGTACGCCTATGGTGAATAGCTAAAGTGCGCCTTGGGCATGTTGGAACATTGACTGTAAATTAATAAAGATTAGAAGTTCTTTTAAATAACTTAATGGTCCATTTGTTTTTGAAGTTGTGAAAAGAAAATACTTACTTCCCCCTAAATCAGTGTGATGTAAAAAAGGGTCTTTTTTTCCCCCAAAAAAGTAAATAATGAGAAATGTAGCAATGACCTAAGTGGGGGAGGCTGTGTGAGATGTGCACAAGGGTGGACCATGGCAGACAGAGAATCTACAGCTTCAGTGACATTCATTAGCTGCCCAAGTTATTGCTGACATATCCAACGCATGATCTGCAAAGCATACGTGTCAACAAACCTGTAAAAGGACTTGAGTATTTACAAGAGGAACCAAAGTGTATGTCAAGTGTCGTCTTCCCTCAACCCCTCCCCAACAATCAAAATATATTAATAGTACAGCTCAACGAGCGTGTTGATGTAGTTTCACTTTTTTTAATAAAATTAAATCCTGAAATAATTACAATAATGCCATTTTGTTGCAATTGTACATAACTGTGTGGTACAAGTCCACAGAAATCTACCAAAATCTGACATGCAAAATGCCTCAAAACAAGACTTGTACCATGTGAACAAACACTGAAATTTTATTTCAGTTCATTTATGTCAGTTTTTCAATTTTTTTAACTTTATTTTTTATTTATTACACAACAATTTAGTTAGTTCTCATATTTACATGTAAAGAAAGCACGGACTAAGTGCTGGAAAAGTCCATATATATGTGAATAGACTGTATGTGTACATTTCTCAGTGATACATAAATAATTTTATAATTATATTTTCATGGTTTCAGTCCTCGTCACTGGAGTCTGAGTCATCTGAGGAGGAGGAGGAGCTCCCGGATTCTGACGAAGAGGTCTCAGCTTTCCCTGAACCTTCTCCACCACTGTTCTCCTTTTGTTCTGCCGAATCTTCCTCGTCCTCATCTTCTTCCAACCCCTCTTCAACCGCCTCACTCTCCACCTCTTCCTCCTCTTTATCCCCCTCTGCTGTTGGCTTCTCCATCTCCAAAAATGATGACTTGGAAGCTGAGGACGGAGGAGGAAGACGAGCAGAGGGAGGGTTGGGGTCACTGTTGGAGCTCTGCAGCTGTGTGGAAGTCACAGGAACGTTAAGGCCTGGAGTGAGAAGCATCCCTGGGTAAAGCATACTGGAAAGTAACAAAGGGTTAAGAGACAGTGGGTGACTGGAGGCTGCAGAGGCAGCTGAAGCACTTTGTGGGGCAGTTGAGGAGGAAGAAGAGCTGGAAGCTGAGGAAGGAGTTGTGTTTGAGCTGTCAGTCCTTTCTCCTTTGGTGTCTGAGGTGAGAGGTGAGGTTGTAGAGGCGGACGCCTCTGCTGTTGCCACACTGCTGGTTCCCTTTGTCTTTTGTGCTGATCCTCCTGTGTCCTCAGAAGCAGACTTCCCAAGCATGCTGCTCATGCCAAGCAGATTTGGCAATCCAGTCATACCAGAGAGCATCATGGGAAACATGGCAGCGAGGTTGCTTGCTGCCAGGTTGCTAGCATCGGGTGGCAGCCCCATCAGGCCTGCTGTAAGCTGCAGGGACTGTAAACTCTGGAGGTTTTGCTGGAAAGCCTGCAGACTAGTCAGATCCATTCCAGGAAGGAGGCCATTGGCCAGCAGCGGGTTGAGGCTGAGCGCAGTGGCAGCCGTGTTGGTTGCTCCTGCTCCTGTTGCCGCTCCTGTTGCCGCTCCTGCTGCTGCAGCAGCTGCAGCCTTAGCCATAGGGTTCTTAGGTCGACGTCCACGCCTGCTCACCTCCTCAGGAACGATGGGTCCAGTTAAGATTCTGTCAAACATACTCTCTGGGAGATAACCCTGGACACAACACAGAGTATAAACAGTGAGAAGAAGACAAGTGGAAACAAAAGATGGATTTATTGAAATTGATGAAAATCATTATTCTTAACATAAGCCTACATATGGATAATGAGCTCCCTATGCATTATTTTGTCTGTCTTTAGCAAGTTTTGGTGTTACTGCTTGTTACATGAAATTTAAAATAGCATTCAATCAAAGTTTTATCTGAATGTTCTGCTTCTCAGTAACTCACCGACTGTTTGACCACATCAGCCCATTCAGGAGGGACACCGTACTCTGGGTTCTCCTGCAAGAACCTGCACAGATCCTTGAGAGCGGGAGCAAACGCTCCACCAATCTACAGTGAAGAAACATGAAGAAGATACATGAGCAAAGTTGCACAGTTGGTTACCGTTTACATGGTAATAAACACTAGAACATCACACAAACACACCTTGCGCGCATTCCTTCTGTTGATAATTTGGACTCTTTCCTCTCCGGTCAGGCTGTTTACATCTATCTTGTTAGGGTTTCTGCAGCGATGCCGCTTCTGCTTGGGACGACCGTCCTGGAAGTGGAACTGCATTTGCATCTTGTTTACCCCCTAGATATAAAAATGTGTAACAGAGTGTGAATGAGTAAAAGAGGGCTGGGGAAAGAAGACAACGAGAAAAGAAAAAATGCTCACAGGAATAAAGGCTCCTGTGTCTGCAACAAAGCCAGGATGTTCATTCAGCCACAGCTCTAGGTCTTTCCTCTTTGGAGCATCATCCCCAGCGAGCCGGGTGCCATCTTTGAGGCTAATGACAGGAACCCTGGTCTCTGTATCTGCAGAGACCTGACCAGAGGTCTGGTCATAGCCTGATGCAGAGGCCATAGCCATGCCCACCTGCCCAATACCACCCCAGCCTGGAGGCACCTGGAAAGAGATAGTCTGTGATATTTATTGGCACTATTTCAAAATGAAATAACTCCAAAGTAAACACCAGCATTATAGAATATAGTTAATTATTTGTCAACAGAAATAGGTAAATTCCCACTTACATGATCAGCAAAAGAAGGACCTTTACTCTTGTTCATGAAGAGCAGGTCTACTCCCTCGACATTCTTCTTTCTTCCTCTACGCTTTTTAACCAGAGGTTGGCCTTCCAGTACTCCATTTAGCCTCATCTGACCAGGAAGAACTGCTGGCACTGAAAAAACAAACAAGGAAGGTTATATGATTGGTGACAAACTGTTTTCAACTACATCCTCTGGCAACCACACTGTAGATAAATTTGACTTTTCCTACAATATGAACAGGGACAGTGTGACAGCAAAAGATCAGACATACATATTACTGACCTCTAGTGGTGACAAACCAAAACATGCAAAAGCAAGTGTAAGCACATGTCCCTAGGTGTTAGCAATATTATAAATAAACACACCAGTCTGAAAGCTGTTTTGAGGCTTGGTGATATCTGTGAGACCAGTGTCCGAAGCACTTTGTAGCTCATGGAGCCGGGCCAGGTACTGCTGCTGGGCGTGGGGACCCTCCTCAGATTCCAGGGGCCTCTTCAGCGGAAGACCCTGCTTTTGGAAGGTCAGCTTCAGACCTCCCTCCTGCTGTACATGGATACAATTATAATGTCAGATTTAATTTAAAAAAATTAAGATTAAAACTGAACCCTATTTTTCCCCGTTCCGAAACTGCTCATTACAGATTAGGGCTTCACTAGTTGGTTTAATCCAGATTTTTATATCATGTACAAATATAATACAAACTCAATTTCCAAGAACTTTAAATAAAAACTATTTTGTTTGGATATTGTCTTGTTAGTAACACTGGAAAACGGCAAGGCAGCGAGTGAAGTTTGCTCTTAGTTGGGCGAGACCTAGGAAGCCATGCCAGACAGACAGTTGTTGTCAACATTTGAAGATGTTAAAGGCATCCAGCAGTAGGTCTTTGGAGATCTACATATCTTCACAAAATGAAACAGAAAGATGTGAAATACATTGTAGTAAATCTGTCAAGTGGATTGACCTGTTGTATTTAGATCAAACATCAGTCGCAGCTCACCTGTCAATTTCTCACTCACATTATAAGCAACACCCTTTTATATTATAGAGGTTTCAAACCCCAACCTTATTATATTCTTATAGTGATTTGTCCTGATGAAATCATCACCTGTGAGCCCCAGTCCAATAAAGTGTGTAGGAAAAGAGATGAAGGATGCCATGATATTAATCTCTTGCTCCTGCCAGGAAGTTCAAACCACTAATCATACCCTAAGGACAGACGGAAGGGCACCAGAGAAACATGCTGAGCACGGCAGCTAACACCAGTCGTGGCAGCAGAAGGGTCCTATGATTAGGGCGAAGCGAAGGGAGCACGGGAGGAAGGGAGAAATAACATACGTCGTTGAGTTTTACTGAGAACTCCTTGTTTTCTGCAACATGCTTGGTCACCTTTGACCCCTGTGGTGAAGCAGAGGGGTCCTCGCACAGGCTGTTGGCACTGTCCAGCAGCTTGGTGGTGTAGAATGAGGCCACCGCACCCCCGGGCTCATAAACCCGACGTGTTTCTGGCCACTTTCCCTTAAGCACTGCTTGGCAGATGCTGTCCAGGCGGTTGATAATTACACGATCCTACAGTAAACAAACAAACAAACAAACAAAAAAACAACACATGGATGAGAGCTCTTGAATTATAACTAGTATTGCTATTTGATTTCTTTTGAATTTTGAAAATCTAAACTGTACTTAACTGGAATTGTGCACAATGACAATAACTCACCTTGGGCCAATATGAAGCAGCGAGCATGTATCTCCCTCCTTGGAAAGGATGTGAGGAGTTAAAGGCAACACCGTTCTCAGCTACCTGAGCATCTTGTGTTTCATCCTGTGTTGTGCTCAGTGATGCAACACTGTCCTCATCAAACCCCTTCATACTTGTTGGTGCAGGCACTAAAGGTGTTAAAAACAGAAATTAATGAGCCTCAAAATACATACAGTCAAAATTAAAGCTATAAACACACATACATTACAATCATAATAATCAGGTAATCACTGCAAAGTATTCTGAAGTTAGTGTGCCACGACACTTACCTTTCTTCTTCCTTTCTTCTCCATCACTGTCACTGTCATCAGAAGATGAGGATGATGAGGATGACGAAGAAGATCCCGAAGAGCAGGACGAAGAAGAAGAAGAGGAGCTTGAGCCGGAATGTGAGGAGGAAGAAGATGATGATGAAGAGGAAGAGGAGCGTGATGAAGAGCTTGAAGAGGAACCATCAGAGTTGGATTCAGATCCACGTCTGGTTTCCCTACGACCTCTCTTGCTGGACTTTTTAGGTTTCCTGTCTGAGGAGTTGGGCGTTAGGGGTTTGGTTCGTGCTGCTACCATCTGCCTCTCACTGTCCATTGTTTCGACCACAGGCTTCTCTTCCAGACCTGTCGGAGTGGCTGGTGCTTTAGGGGGACTCCAACCCTCACCTTGTTTATTGCTGCTCTCCTCCCCCTCAGAGGCTGGTTCCACTTTGGCCACAAGCCCAAAGGGTACTGACTCTCTCTGTCCTGTTTGATGCATCGGAGAGCCTGTTAACACTGAGCTGGCAGCCTGGTGCTGAGGGTGGAGGATTGGGTTGGATGTGCCTGACTGCTGCTGTACAGCTTTTGTTTGGCTGTAGTTTCGCTGGGCAGACATGAAGCAGAGCTCAGGGTCTCTCAGAATGTGGTAATCTGTGCGGCTTACGCCATGCTTGGCTGCACCAATTAGCAGGTCACGGTCGTGGTTTCCAGCCTCCCACCACACAGGCAAGTCCGAGCTCATCTGGCACAGTGGCAGGCGCTCATAGAGAAATGAATGTGGCAGAACTTGCTCCCGCACCTGGCGAAGTAGCTCTATTCTGTAAAGGGTACGTGATGCTCGCTCCTCTGTGATGGGCTGGATGGTGAGAGATTGGTCCACAGCAGAATCTGGAACAGAGACCAAAAAGCAGGTTAGGTCTGAAGCATAAAAACAAACTTCATTTAGTCTGTTTAAAGGGAGCCTCTGACATCTATACAGAAATAAACCCTTCTACAACCAAGTATAAATGTCAGATGTGAAAAAAAGAAAAATTTAAGTGAACACAGGAACTGTTAAAATTGTTTGTGATAAGGGCTGAGGACAGGGTAATTAAAGTAATTACTTCATATTTTATATAATTGTTTGGAAAATATGCAACTTTTTTTGTAGTGATGATCAAGTGGGTCTGTTTATGTTTGACACTAACCTCCCTCTTTTGGTGGCAGTCTACACACCCGTCGACACATGGCAGTGAAAGCACACAGGTATTTCTGCAGACTCTCGTCAGTCTTCTTGTGCAGCCGAGCCATAGCCCTGAACTTGGTCCAGTCGAACTGACCAAGGGTGGGGTCAAAAACAACACCAAAGGTGGAAACGACACGATAGAAGTCAGCTTCTTCCCGCCTGGTCCATCTGAGATACATGAAAAAAAAAAAATATATATATATCTTAATATTACAATTATTTAGATTGCCATTTGCAGATTCTATTCATAAAAGGCTTCAAATGTCCAGTTTTAATGTCTAACACATGACCTGACCTTTGCTGCCTTTCAAACTTTGCAGCCATTTTTGGGTTGAGGTTGTTGTCAAGTGTAGGAGGCAGTGGGCACAGAGGGGCAGACAGCATCATTGCCTGCTGGGACTGAGACATGGACTGGGTCAGTGACTGAGCCTGGTGGATGTTGAGGATCTGCCGGCTCTTGGTGTAGCGCTGGGAGGCAGTGATTAAACGCCTCAGTCGAGCTGTCAACACTGAGGATGAGGGCCAGTAGGAAGTTTGACCTTCCAGCAATGGCACAGGATCTGCAGCAGAATAATACACAGCAGACATTCAAATGTAATTCTGTTATTATTTTACTTAACTCCTAAAACATCCTTAAATCTGCACATTGCCACACTACTGCTATGTTGATATTAAGAACAAATGTCTTGAACCTACCTGCAGTGTTGTCGGCAACAACCAAATCTCCTGGAGAAGAGACATCATCCTACAGGGAAAGGATGTGTGTTTTGTTTAAAGCTCAACCGCAACAGTAAATAACTTAATGGTCAAAGAAAAAACCTAAACAGATTCATTTCCTTTATTTGTTTGGCCTTACCTCCATGTCTTCTTTCAGCAGAGCTGGAGCAGGCTTGTATTCTGGATCATCCACATCCCTGAAAAAAGCACAGATTATTTTGTTTAGAAAGAAAAGTTCTAAGTGAATTCAAAAGTAAATGGAAATGATTAAATTATTTCCTGGCTTAAGACTGTTATCTTGAACCCACCCATCCATGAAATCGTTGCTCCTTTGTTCGGCAGCGATGGCCTTCTCATCAGGTCGACCCACACGCTCTAGGAAGCACAGTTTGGGGTCTGCACGAATAGTGTTGTACTTCTCATAACCTGTGAGAGAACAGCACATAGAAGTTAATAAAGGAAAGTTAATTTTCAACACACCCGGTAATAATAAAACGAGTTTGCTTGTTCACAATCTAAAATTCTGTGTACATGGTAATGACCTGTGGTCCCATACTACATATAAGTGAGATGAATCTAAATGTGTAAGCACTCAGTAGTGGAACTACCAACAACAAACCAAAACAACCACCTGAACAGAGGTGTCTTACCATGTTTAAATATACCCAACAGAAGACACTTGTCAGCGATGGCATCCCACCACAAGGCGGGCAGCTCTGAATGGTCAGGAGATGGGACCCAGATCTTGACCTCACTGAAGATCAAATAAAGATTGAAAATAAATGGATAAACCAGGCGACTTGTTTAGTTTCCTTACATTGAGTGTTAATAGACAAGGTCTGACTTGACCTTGTACTACATGTACATTTATAGAACTTTCTAAGACTCATTAAATAAACACTATTCCAGTGAATACAGAGAGGAGACAGGCTACGAACAGATGTGCCGACAGCATGTCAGTGTGTGGTGCAAAAAAAGTATCTAAAAAATGTTTTGTTTGCTTTTTTATGAAATACTGGGTAGACATAAAAAACTGACATTTTAAATTCATTCATTCAATTTTAAATCATTCAGATAGATCTTTTCCCTGTAGTTACATTTATAATATTACTTTATCAACTTATTTAGGTGTACGTTGAAGAGAAAGGGATTTTATTGCAATATTTAATAAAATCTATATTTAAAACATTCAGATAGATCTTTTCCCTGTAGTTGTGATACCGTTAAGCGCTGTTCTCTATTTCAACAGCAGGTGGGGCTCTATATCGCTCTTTTTTATTAATCAGCTGGTCCTTCAACAGGTTTACACCATATGCAAAGAAAAAAGCTTATGTAAAATTAGTAAATATAAGCAGTTTGTTCGATTCAATGTGCAAACTCGGCTGTTGCCACTATACAAGTGCGCGTAGGTTTGTACCATTATTTACAAGCTGTTGGAAATTGAATTTAAATAAACCCTGCTATCACAGAATGTGTGCAATTTGGAAAAAAAAAACACAGCTAACATGTGTCTTAAATAAAAGCAATTTCAAAAGGAAATTTAAGTTCAGTTGTAAAACAAAAATAATACAATGCAAAGATACAATGTGTAATAAAGGGGAAATAATCTGCTCACTTGGAGTCTGCACCATCCAGTACTTTCTGGGCCTGGTTTCCAATCACCTCTTGTTTCAGGTAGTAGAGCATTCTGACCCTGAGCAGCACCCTGCAAAAGAAAACCCAGTGGTCACAAACAAAGGTCCTAAACAGGCAACAATGCCGAGTCAGCAGAACATTCGCTCCCCATTCACACTCTGACTGGTGAACGCATGATGACAAGGCTGTTCACTCACTACATGATACAATAAAGTCACACACTGGTCAAACATAGCAGCACACAACTATAAATCAATAAATATGCAGTCACAGAGAACATGACGCACACACACAACTGCATGTGACAAACCAATTATCACACACTTATGCTTAATAAATTAACCTGATCACTGCCTCAATGGCACTGTAACCCACCCATACACCCAACCACACACACACACACACACACACACACACACACACTCCTCCTCGAGTAAACATTTTTGTATGGACGTCACAGTGAATCATGAGCTGTTCACTGTCAGGCACTGACGTCTAGCTGAACAGTCATGGGCCTCTCTCCACAGTCGTCATATGGTCATGCTCTGGCAGTAGACGAAGACTGGGAGCTCAGGCTGACTCACAGGGGAGACATTAGCTCTCTGATGCATGAGCACACATCACAGGCTGTAGGCCTTGTGCAGAGATGCAGTCACGTAGCGGGCACTCTAGTACTTTAACGTGTGATATGCCTTGAGATTTTAGAAAACAATTTGGTACAAGCACAAAAGCCATAGTGGTACATTTGTAAAAGCAAATTATCTGTACTTTTATAAGGATTTTTTCCAGTCCCAATGACCACTCAAAGATACCCGTCAACCTTGGTAAATTCTTATCAATTCCAATTCTTAGTCTCCTGTAAAAGAGACAAAGTCTCTTTTACAGGAGAGACAAGTCATAAAAGAGACTTTGTCTCTTTTATGAAACAGAAACGTGCAAAAACACCACTTACAAAACTACAAAACTAGTAAATATTGAGGATTAATTAAAAGATTGTGTCCAGAAAATTAACTTGTCTTTATCCAAACCATTTGTTGTTCATTTCTTGTTTGTCAGAATTATTTTTAATGGTGGTGACAATTTCTTTTAGCCTTTTTGTCTGATAAACTGAGGCTAAATAAGCAAATTAAAGTTTGACTGCACTTGAAGAAAATATGAGACATTTACTTTTTTTGCACCCTTATTTTTAGCCACTTCGAAGAGAAAAAAATTTCATTCATCATTCATGCAGAATTTGCAGGCATAACTACAGCGCAGCTCCTCATTCAAGAAAACAGACTGCTCTTAGATATACAGCATCAGGGCCTTACATCTTTGGTCCACCTCAGCTGAATATTGTTATAAACGAGCCCCATATTCTTCCCTGATTCACTGACAGGTCCAGGAAAAACTGCAAGGCACCGAGTTTGTCTGCCTGTCAGAATGATGGATGTCTGTGGTGACCAGTGCAGACTTGCATCCCTGCTAAATCATAGACTTGAACTTCCTCCCTATGCCTCCTCCACCCATCATCCTCTGTGGGCTCAGACCCGCCCAGGAGCAGCTGCTGCTTCCGCTGCATGTCAGTGCAGCGCTTCATCATTCTCTTCATACAGCTTTGTCAGTCTGTGTCTGTGAATGTGGGATGTGGTTCCCTTAGAGAGGCCGGAGAGGATTTCAGCACAATCGCACACCACGTCTTTCATGGGCAAGTATGTCAAGTATGCATAGCATGCACAGTATGCAAAAAATCTATCACTGTGTGTGTGTGTGTGCATAGAGGGCAATCCATCAAAATCCAGTGGAACCAAGGAGATAATGAGCCACAGATGAAATTGTTTTGAAACACAAACTTTTTTCCTGCCTAAGTAGGCAGATTTAATCACCACTCTCATTACCAAGGACGCAGTTAGAAAAAAAAAACAAAAAAAAACTAGAAGAGTTTATCGACTAGGAAGTGAACACAGTAATCAATTCTAGTGATTCCCCCTCCAAATTTTTATTTAATTTTTGGACACAATTTTTCCTCCCACCTGAGAAGTATTCTCTAGAGTGATGGTCCAGTTATAAGAAATTGAACACCCACCCACTTGAAACACCTACTCTCTAAAACACTGTGCTGGTCTCGGATGGAAAATGCAGAAGTCAGCAAAAGCATGTAGACTGTTAGCATTTGCCTGGTGTGTCAGATAGTAGACTATCGCTGGATTCAGCATCACTGGATCAGGGAACAATGGGGAACTCTCTATGAAAGCTGCGAGCAAAGCTTAAATGATAGACAAAAGCCTGTAAAACAAAACAAAAACAAAAAAAAAAGAAAAGAAAAATGCCATCTGTTTTACTTTAATTCTCAATGGCCAGTGCTTTGATAGGGGCTATTTTTCCCTTCTGTCTGAAAATAAGAGAGATGTATGACAGACATTAGCAGAACTGAAGTGTCATTAAGATTTATATCAGTCAGCAGGTTGGGAGGTGACCCACGTCCAGTAATGAATAAGTGAACTGTCTACTCCAATAGATGTTTTAGTGTCTCCTAATTATCGAGGCTGGGGGAGGCACAGTTAATACTTAAGCCATGTGCAAATTATGCGCTCATTGATATTGGCCTCTGCTATAAATAAAATGATAGAATACTGTCCACCAGAGCATAATGATCACCTGCCATTTGCTGAAACACTGGAAATGTTGAATGAAAGCAAACTACCCCAACAACAGGCAACACAACCATATAACCACCAAACACTGGTGCACTGTAGATAAACATAATACTGAAAAAGTTGAACATTGTAAAATGTAAAAACCCAGACAAAACTTTAAATGTTATATTCTAGAATCAGGAAACACCTACTTGTTGCAGTGGTGTTTGAGGTGTTTCTTGTAGCCGTCATCCTGCAGCATGTGCTCTGGGTTGTGTTTCCTGAGCCACTCAGCTTTGTGGATGTCAAAAGAGCTCGACTGCGTCTTCATCTTTTTACCCTTTCTGCCCCGGGGCACTGGGGCAGATAAACCTAAAAAAAGAAGGCACAAAAAGTCATAAGTGAGGTATAGAAATTTGTACTCCATCCATCTAATTCTCCCACCGCTGTCTGTTTAAATCCTAAAAGTCACCTAAGTGATTCTGTAGCTCTTTTGTACGACCGTCCTCAGCAGGGGCAATGAGGTCCCACATGAAGCTCTTGATCTTGTCATCTCCGCGGTAATGTACCAAGCAGTAGGACAACAGTGCCCTGCAGATGGACTCCACATCCCACTCTGTCAACTGCTTCTTAAAACGCCCGTGATTAAGGATGTCCTTCCAACGACCCCACCTAAATAACACAACCAAATTTAGCAAAGTGTAATTATTTGGAAATAGATATTGTGAAACTCAATATAGAAAGCATGGATCTGTAATCAAAACCATATTTGCCCTTGTATACTGTAATTTCTCTCTAGTATACTATATATATCAGAAGCTCTTCACAGATACATTTAATGAATATTTCCATTACAAAGCCTTTACCCATATACAAGCAGGTTCTTCTCTACTCTGAAGCACTCTGTCCGTCCATAGCTATTGAGGCGGTCATTGTTTCGCCGGACCTTAGGTTTGCCATCATCACTCTCGCTTCCGCCCTCTGAAAGCTCTGCCAGTTCATCCTTGGTGGCACTGAATGGCCTGGTCTGCTTTCGGACACGAGGAGTGTCAATGACCAAACTGTTCTGTGAAGAGAGAACAGAGAGGAAAAAATGTTTCAACAAAAGTCCTTGCTGCAAAACATGCAACATTTGTTAAACCCCTCCAGTATTTCAAATATACACTATAAAGTTGTTCGAATTATCTTACCTATATATTGTACCATTATAGTGAAACTTACCCTGCCATTCACCATTTCCATGTCAATGTCTGCTTTCTTGGCCCACTTGTCCCAGAAATTTGGGTCATCCAGAGAAATGTCTGTGCGGTTTCCAGATGCCACAAAACTGGCCTGAGAACAGACATAAGACATAATCACATCAAACCATACATCTGTGTATCTAAACTGATATCAGTGAAAAACTAAACAAAATGTTATACAAAATGTTATCATGGATACATTGTTAGTCATCAAGACATCAGACCAAATGTTAAATCCTACATGTCAGCATTGTGGTCCAACCATGTTTGAGGCTCTTGGTGAATTTAATGTTGGTTGTTGGTTAATGTACATTGTTCTTCCAGTGGTAAAAGCTGCAGATCCTTGTCCTAAAGTAAAACATTATTATTTATAACATTTACCTTTGCAAAGGTGGAGCCTCGTCCCTCAGACTCAATGGTGATAGTTTTTGTCCTGCGCTGAAGAATCTGGTCGATGTCCTCTTCGCAGAATTTCGCTCCTTCATCCTCCTCATCCATGATGGCACCATAAGCACCACGTCGCAATAGATCCTCAATCTCCTTCTTAGACAGCTGCTGCTGCGCTGCCTGCAGGTGAAGAGCAGGAGTGCAGGACACTTGAGATTAGGGAAGTTTATATTTAAAAACAATTTAATGACCCTTTAATAACTTTGTATTCATATGTTAAAACAGCAAAAAATGTAAACGTAAAATAATTATCTGCCTAAAACTGCATAAAATGCTTAAAGAAGTCAGGGTCTCTGATTGGATTATTAAATCACATGAGGAACCTAAGCAACTGTTTAGTATGCAAAGATATTCACTTAGACCAGATGTGAAAACATGCTAATAGCTTAGCCTCTCATAGTTGGAAGAACTCTCAGAGGACATCAAACACAGCTAAGCATCCACCCACACACTTCACACACTGTTGACACACTCCCTCACATACAAATGAGACTAATAAGATACTGTAAGGTGCACTGGAAGTGGGAATCATGAAATATGAGCTTCAACCCATTTACCAACTCTGTTTCATTTTTGGAGTCCTGTTTTTATCTCCCGTCTGTATGAACATCTATCTCATATTTATACAGCATTTATTTGTTGATGTTTTTCAAAAAAAGTTTCAATCAGAAAAGGTATTTTATTTACAGTACTAAATCTATGAAACATGGTTATTTACAAGCCATATCAAAGTTAAAACTGGGTTTTTTTTGTTGAACAAAAGAAGAAAAAAAAAAAACAACCTCAAAGTTGAATTTTGAAAAATGTTTAAAATTCTGAACGTGCTCTAACATGACACAGGCCACATGTGCAGTACTTTTTAAGTTTGACTTAAAATTGATTGTCAAAACACATCCACCTACGGTGAAGGTCTCTGATCATTTTTAATGAATAAGTAATGTGGTATATTTGATATGAAAAAAAGAAAATAAAAAAACCTAAATCTCTAACTTACCCCTCCACCGGTGCCTCCTCCTCCTCCTCCTCCAAGGCTGTTATCTCGGCCACTCATGCTCTGCAACACTGCTTTGTCCAGGCCCAGCTTCAGACTGGCTCGATCAAACATTTCCCGCTCATAAGAGTTTCTTGTGATCAGACGGTAAACCTTCACTGCTTTGTCCTGACCGATACGATGGCAGCGAGCCTGGGCCTGTTTCAGACAGAGGGTGAAATGAAGCACTGAGTATATACTGAAGAGATTCTGTGGGTTCTGCAATTAGAGTCAAGAAAGTGTGAGTGCGTACCTGCAGGTCGTTCTGTGGGTTCCAGTCAGAGTCAAAGATGATACAGGTGTCTGCTGCCGTGAGATTAATTCCCAGGCCTCCAGCTCTTGTACACAGTAGGAAAACAAAGCGGTCTGAGTCAGGCTTGCTGAAGCGGTCGATGGCCGCCTGTCGCAGATTTCCACGAACACGTCCATCTATCCGTTCATACAAATACCTGTCAGAAAAAGAAGATTCTACAATTATGGATGTTTTTGTTGATGTTAAAAACAAAAAAAGTGTTTTGACATTTCCTGCATTTCTTTTTAAAACATCTTTGTCAGCAACACTTCTCCCGTGCCCTTCCCTTGGTGATCCACCTGGGATGAAACCTTACATGTAGTAATAATGTGGTGAAGCCCTGAGAGCTACAGTAACCTGCTGATGAACCCTGCCTATGGTTTGCCCCCATACCACCCCCCCCCCGCCTCTCACCGCATGAATCTGGCTGACTGAAAAAAGAGTAGGTTATCTGCTATTAATATTATATTGTGATGTTGATCAGCTGCTAGGAATCTTTCCTCATCTCTCTCTATGAAATGTTAGTTTTTTTTACATCAAAATTAATGTAGTACAATCTGTAGAATTATATTTTATATTATTTTTAAGAAACTTATCACCAGCAGAGACACAGATCTAGTCTGGCCAATCTAATTAAACGTGTACTCACTAAGTTAAGCCCCTAAACCCAGTCCAAAGCTTTGGATTAACATTAACAACAGTTGAAGACAAAAATGACAACTAAAACTCTTTTTAACAGTTGGTAGAGCTGGTGTACTAGCCAGCATAAGACAAAGACACCTGGAAATCTTAAAATTAAAATGCAAATGTAGAATAGATAGTTAGCCACGGTCGTATTTGGCAGTAAATGGCACTCGACAATATTGTCAGGAGAGATAACAGCCAGCAAACTCCACAGGATGTGCTTACCAACCTGAATATAAATACAGAACAGAAACATAAAAAATAAATAAATAATTTGAAAGTAAAAAAAAAAAACAAAAAACAAAGAGAATCAGAGGCCAGATTCAGGTGCCTGTGAGCTAGCCTACATCTCACAACTGTGATGTACAACTGTATATGAAAAACAGGATGACATATTTATACCATTTTTGCTTGTAAACCAATTCTGGTGTAGTACTCTACTCTAAGATGCCACAACTGTACATAATATTTCAATGGCTTTGTAGTAAGAATAAATGCTGGTACATCATCTCTGTGGTTTAGAAACATTGACTTGTCTGCCATCTCTCTTTAATCCCAAATGTAAACTGGTGAACAAGTTACCATTAAAAAAGATAAAGACAATGAATGCTTTAGACAACAGTTGACACAGCTATAGAGATAAACAGAACACGTCTTACTAAGTTGACTTAGTAATTAGAATGTGTACCACTGCTTTAGTGCTGCCTTTTGTCACACAGCAGTGGGAGCTTATTTAACTCAAATGCATATACCTTTATATCCAAAATCTGCGAGTCTTACCTTCTCTGAATGAGGTAGTCTTCCAAAATGTCCAGGCAGCGCACCATTTGGGAGAAGATGAGCACCTTATGACCCCCAGCCTTCATCTTCGGCAACAGTTTGTCAATAAGGACTAGTTTTCCAGCAGACTGCACCATGGCCTGCAGGTGAAAGTCACTGGCAGTGGGGCTATAGACTTCCCTGAAGTCCTCAAGGATCTTCTCTTCTGCCCCTAACGTACAAACACAGGGACACATCAGAAAAATGTCTCTGTCTTTAATAAGTTGTTCTTTATGTCTACTTCAGTCCATTAATGGTGTTTGGTAAATTAAAAAAAAAAATCTAATTTTGCGAGAAGGTTATCAGTATGTAAAGCCCAGGGAAATTCTACAAATCTGATTTACATAACTTGTCTTTGTTACTGTATATATATTCTGATACCTTTGATGAGGTAGGGGTGGTTGCAGCACTTTCGCAGCTCCATCATAGTGTTGACCAGGTTAGGCATATTCGCCTGTCCAGCTCCTTTAGACAGGAAGGAGAAGTTCTTCTCTAAGATGGCGCGGTAGTATTTCTTTTGAATGTTAGTGAGCTCCACTTCAATGATGGTTTCTTCTTTAGGAGCCAACTTTTTCTCCACATCCTCCTTCAGCCGACGCAGCATCATGGGCTTCAGGATACCCTGCAGCTTCTGCACCTGTGGAAGATAAAGATAAAGGAGAAATTATATTGTGATTAAATACAGCAAGATTTACAATCCAGTCGATGGATAGCACATGCTGTGTTTTTTTAATGGTGTCCTCAAATTTGTCTTTCAAATTTGTTTCAACTTAAAATATTTTCCTTGATGGTCAAAATAAAATAGCCTATTGAAATAATTAGTTTATCTATATTGATATTCACATTTCCTTTACTTTCTAAATTACTGCTAGACCACAGTTATTCCACTTACAGGTTCTTAACTCAGGACAGTCAGCCTTTAGCATGAGCTTCTATTTTGAGAATTCATGGCTTGCATTTTTTTTCCTCAAACAGTAACTTTTACCAAGGCAAAGTGTTTGAGTTTCTGTCTCTGACTCAAAGCTATAGGCTAAAAATAATGCAGTAGTAACAAGCTCTTTTTCTTGCCAGCAGTCCCAACAATGAGTAGAATTATCCATGGTGTTTGAGTGTGTTGTTTAAATGTCACCGTGTCCTGCTTATTGAAAGCTTCACTCAGTGACCAGATATTTTTGTTGAGAAACTAAAAAAAAGCAATATTTTAGAAGCACTGAAAAAGTTTGTGTCTTATTTAACTAATAAGCTGACATGACTGAATTGACAGAGGAGATTACAGTATTTGTGCACGTGCATGTTACCTGTTCTTCAGTCTTGAGTTCTCCAAATTCCTGCATGAAGGTATTTTCTGAGGGGAAGCGTGCAGGCTCCAGGAAGTGCAGCAGGCTAAAGAGTTCCTCCACAGTGTTCTGGAGAGGAGTGCCTGTCAGCAGGACCTTGTGCTCCTACCAGAGGACAAGAGGCACCAGAGGAGAGTTACCACTCAACTGTCCTACACCTAACTGTTACTGATGAAGTATCAGTTTCATGTTTGACTTTCAGACATGACTGTACCAGGCTCATAAGCTTGAAGCCCTCCAGCAGCTTGCAGTTCTTGTTCTTCAGTCTGTGGGCCTCGTCAATGATAACACAGCGCCACTGTATGGCGTTGAGCTCTGGACAACCCCCCAGGATCATCTCAAATGTTGTAATGACAGCCTGGAACTTGTAGGCACCTCGCATTGCATGTCCCTAAAGGAAAATAGGAAAAAAAAACAAAACAGAATGACAAGTCGATCAGACTAAATAAAATGGTTTATGATAGAATCCTGCAATTACAGTAGATTCAGACTTATGGATTAGAAAGTATATGTGCTTAATATGGGAACCACTGAGCCATTGCAATAAGAGAGTACAGCAAGAAATGCAAATTTCAAGTTCAATGTATTCTGTAAATTGATGTCCTTTTTTCATCTTTTTGCGCTCACAGCTTGTAAAATAAGAATATAAGCCAAAGCTTTATTTCCATGAAATATGGTAAAAATAAGGTGTAACTCTGTAAAAACATCTCCACCAATCGGGAAGAAGACTGGACTACGGAGAAAGAAGCCCCACATCCAGTACATGAGTTCTTACTGGCTCATGAGTATGTTGAATGTTTGTTTGTTTGTTTTTCTATCTAGGGAGTTCTTTTTTTTTTTTACCCCGCCTCTACATTTGTATCTTCTGCCTTGACAACGGTCCTCCAGGGATGCTCGGTTATCCAGGAACACCCTCCCACTTGCAGGCAGGCAGCAGACTGCTGTAGGAGTCTAGCTCTGTGATACGCCTGAGCAGCATTGACAGAGAGCTCCCCTTGGGGGCTGTTGTGACATCACAGGCTGCCTGGGAGACAGCCTGGTGGCAGGTCGACACTGTGCTGCTCCTGCACATCCTAATACCTCCTCCGGTTCTTTTAAATGTTAAGAGCTGCTCTAAGTGCCTGTTGTGAGACGTCACATGGCCTGTCAACCGCAGAAAGTCTCCTCCCAGGGCCAACTAACGACCTACTAGTTTAGTTGTTGTTAGACACGTGGCCTTCTGTGAGGCTTGTTAAACACTCTCAATACTTTGACTGCATTTGTAAGAGTCCAGCTCTTCAAGAATGTCGTCAAACGTATTTAGCCATAGAGATATTTTACCCAAAGAAAAACAATGCCTTTGTTTCTTGAGTGGAACTTTATATCAGAAACATACAGACATAATAATTATGTACTGTCTGACTTCCTATCTAATCCCATGTCCTTTGTCGAATGCAGTCATTTTCATTTAAAACCATCATTATATTATTCGCAGAAAGAAAATCAGTCATCATTTTCACTGTTTTATTTTTACTTGATTGTGTCAAAAATCTACCTGGAGAGCTTCTCAGCTGTGTTAAAGTATCAGAGCTATGCTGATATTAGTAAGTAAATATTCCTGTGAACTGACTTCTGTGACACTGTACTAAGTACCTCTAAAAGAGACAAAACGTCCCACGGTGGTGAACCACTTACATGTGCATCCCTGAAGTACATTTCGTACTGCTGCAGCATCTGCCTGCTGATCATACTCCCATGATAGACGATCACATTAAGGTGGGTCCAAGTGTGGAACTCTCGCTCCCAGTTGGCAATTGTGGAAAGTGGGGCAATGATGAGAAAGGGCCCTTTTATGCCCACACGATAGATCTCCTCCAGGAACGTGATGGACTGTATGGTCTTTCCCAGGCCCATCTCGTCTGCGAGGATGCAGTTACGTCTAACAAGTGGAGGAAGCACAACAAAGTAGAGAAAAAACAGTTATACAAAACTGAGCTATGATTAAAAACAAGTAGGCATAACACAAGCCAGGTGATTAAGGAGAAGGTAGTAAGGATTCTATTCCTGTTGTGGACAACATGAATGTTATAATGTATAAATGTTCATATTGCTGAGATAAAGTGGTGATTTTTTTAGCTTCAGACAATAGCAAAACAAAATAATTGAGGAAACAATAGCAAACAATAGCAAAACAAAATAATTGAGGAACAGTAGTGAAAACATCACCAACTCAGATAATAACAGAGATGATACACAACATAATGGCAAACACAACTGCCTCTGTGTGGTGTTCCCTCACAAAACTATTTATTCAGCTGTCCAGTGGGTAGGGGTATTATATCTTGATGCTAATTGCAATGTGCAGATATTCCCACTGGCCTCTTAAGCATCTCTCTGCTTTTGATGAATCTTTCTGCGTAGGCATACACAAACTCTAGTATGCTCACACATAACTGAGCCAATTCCCAGGGTTAATGCAAGCACGCTGTCACTGTGTTCTCCAGATGTACTGTGCAGCTCCTTTATGTTGGTTGTGGGCGAATCAAAGCAACTGATGTAGCGGCGTGAACCTCAACAAGACATTTTACTCTCCGTGCAAGCCCAATCAAATGATGTGAATGCAGCCAAATTACAGTAGAACACACACACACAGACAGACACAGATACACACACACAGCATGTGAAGATTGATTCATTATTCATGATCCCAGCACTCAATGAAACCCCTCTTGAAGAGCAATATGATAATATAAAATCTCTCAATCAATGAATGTGCTGTCATATTCAATCAACATGAGTCACTACACTCAAACATGTTTGAGCAACATGTTGCTTACAGGGTTAGTTTGTGAAATAAATCTACAATTTATGATCATCTTTAATTAAATGCTGGTTCAGTGCTAACACTATTTGACAGCTGAAAGTTTAGTCAAGTGTAAAATGTTTTGGCCAAAGGCACTTTGACACACTTGTCTGAGGCAGAGGACAGAGTAGTGACAATACATTTGTTTTTTATTCTAGAATGACTTTGGTGGAACTTAATCAATGTAATTATGTTACTGCTCTGTTTGCAGGATAGTGGATATAAATGGTACCGATTTATGAATAATCCCAGTGACACTAGGGGCCATGTGTGTACATAGTGCATGTGAAAGTGTGTAAAAACTAATCACCTACCTGTTGTACCAGTTAAAGAGAAGCCAGTTGACTCCCTCCAGCTGGTAGTCCCTGAGGCTGTTACCATTCCTGTATGCCCTTGACTGCTCCCTCTTCTTCCATAGATTTGCTGGGGGGCGCTCCTACATGAAAAATATACATCATCATGTGGAGGTTTCAGCTGTGAGTATAATGATTCCCATATGTACCTCAGTGCAATTTTTTTCTGCCATTATTTGAACACATTTTTTGGCTCAATTTGTGAATGTTGGTCAACATTTCTGCAATATGCCCTTTCTATATTCTGGTTATTTTGTTGCATTATTAAAGTTTAATCCATGCAATACTTCACTCAAGCACATTATAGCTGCTATATGTACATTTGGTACTATGTATACAATTACTTGTAAATATGTTTTAATCTATCTGAGTATATTTATCTTGTTCAGTTTGAAATGCTTTTGCAGGGACAGCATTAACACTTCAATAAAGTAATTCCAGTTGTGATTCAGATAAAGTTAACAACCAACAACACTAAAAATCAGATCTTAAAAAAAAGGATTATAGCATGTCGACCAGCATCATACACATGTGAAGGCGAATGCACAATTTCAATCATTTCAAATAGTTAACCACTCTTGAGACCTAAAGGTTATAAGGTCAGGACAAACCGTGCCGTGAACACAAACTAACCTCTTTTCTCAGGGTGTTAACTCACTGTATGAATGTGGCCTATTTTACCCATGTTCATTGTTTAGCTAATGATGTCATTTGTTTCCTTCATACAATTTGCTGGTGAATACAGTCATAATCAACACGACCTCTTTACCAACAACATACAGAGATTTATTTCTGGAATATATAAGCACTTCAAAATACTAGTAAGAGATGTAAATGCAGTACAAGGGCAACATGATGTAAAATGACAGTAATGAGTAATAATTGATGATTGTGTGGTCATGACCTACCACCCTGCGTGAGTCTGGCTTGACTGCCTGCAGCTGCTCAAACTCTTCAATCTTGCTCTGATCTACGTCGTCCTTTAACTCCCAGGTGCTGTCCTCGTACGGCAGAGAACACCATTTTACCAGGTAATACACCACCTCCTGTGCAAGGCAGAGAAGAATTAATACTGGAAAAGACCACATAGAGGCCAAGCTCTGCTTTATTTATATCAACAAAGCCTGAGAGAAAACCCATTCGGATGGCCTTGGGCATTTATTAGGTACAAAGACGTTCCTGGAGTGAAAGAGGGTTTATTGAAAGGAATTAAAAAAAGTGAAAAAAAAAGGTGAAAATAGTAAAACGTTCTCAGCTACAGTGTTGCAGTAAACACATGTAAGCTAATAACAGATATGATTAACAAATGAAAAGCTTTGATTTACCTCTCCTTTGTCCTCACAGTACGACACCTCGAGCACTCTGTCTACCTCTACATAGTCAGGGTTAAAGGGCTCCTCGTCCATCTGAGAGACGGAACAGAAAGCAGAAAATGGTTCAGAATAAACCTGTTAGTGCCCACTGACCATCTGGAGTCCGACACCAGCATCAGTGCAATGATTGAGGAAAAAAAACAACTCCAATATATATATGTGTGTGTGTGTGTGTATATACATATATATATACATATATATACACACACACACATATATGTGTATATATATATACACACACACACACACACAGACAGATGTGGCTGCCCACGCCAAACAATAAAAAAATACACAAAATGGATACATTCATAATATTCCTTTTCATGTTCACTACAGAATCCTCTTCCAGCACACAAATATGTGGTTAGAAAAATTAAGTTTACACACAGAAACTCATGCAGCCTTACATCTGCAAAGAAGTGTGCCCGCTGTGCTTGTTTCATCTTGAAGCGTTTGATCTTCTGCTGGATCCTCTTGTCCTTCTCCAGCTGCTGCTCTGTGGCCCACTCACAGTGTAGGTAGGAGCTGAGACGCAAGACACACAAACACACACACACAAGTGAGAAACCATGGACAATGTCTCAGAAACAGTTTTAAGAAGCACCAGCTCAGATCCAAAAATGCAGATCCATTTAAACACAAGTACTCTTACAAAGGGAGGCTAATAACAATTTTAGATGCAAATATTCACATTTTTCTTTTTCACCACTACACTGTGAAAGTATGAAAGCAATCTCAATGACAAATTATCTGTCATGCAAAAAGCAATTATTTCTATGGAAGGCGGAGGTGGCAAAACCTCTGGTTCATAAAGTCTAATTTTCAAAACGCTCAGACTCATTATTTGCTTTTGAAATAAACTAGCATTTCTTTTTTTTTTCAATAATGTATCTTAGTGCAGTGTTATCTCCTAAGATAATGGCATGTTTTTGTAATAACTCAGCCTTTTTTACACAATTTTTTCAAGGTGTTGAGTGATAGCCTTTGACTGTTTATTTGCTTCCATTCCATTTTTATTTCCAGACAAAATATCCCAAAAATAAAATACAAAATAAAAACTTACTAGTTTTTGTATTTTACGAAAAACTCTTCCACTTCCACTACAACACCTGGAGACACCTGTGAAGAGAGTAAAAATTCTTAGTAAAAAAACTTAAAAAAAAGTAGTAATTTTTAGTCATTTTTAAATTATCCAATGGAAAAAATATATTTTAACAATCAAACAGGGATGTCTCAGAACTGGGCTTATTTTCCATGTTTCTTTCAATGATTGTTATCATTTGAACCAGCGTGAGGCTGAATATAAACATTACCTCCTTCTTAACAATGCGAGAAGACATGATTTTGTCAACTACAGCACCATCTTCTTCACTGGGATTTTCCTGGAAATACAGTAAAGAAAAATATGTAAGATTTGTTCTTAACACAGACTGTGAATTCTAAAAATATGTTTGAGTAAAAAGAAAAGCTTCTCACTACAAAAAGTTGTACACCAGGGCCCTTGGATGCTGGAGCGTTGGTTTTCTTGGCCTTGACGATAACCTTGACGTCCTCATCTGATAACCTGGCCTCCAGCTCTTCGGCGTACTTTTTTCTTTTCACCTGTCGATTAGATCTTCTCTTCTAGAACAGCCAAACACAGATGGAGAGAAGCAGTTATAAAAATATTCAGTTGACGTAGGGTTACATTTTACATCTGTTTTGAATGTTGATTGACAGTGAAAGAAAGGACTAACTAGCTGCTTAGTTTAATTTTCAAATGCAGGAAGTTGTAATGAGCTCTACGCTGATGGTTCCTGCTGCTTTAAACAACACACAAAGTGTGGTTGAGATACTAAGCAGCATTGTAAACAATTCCTCAAGAACAGCCTTAATGGTTTTGGTGGTTATTCTGATTTTTCTTTGTCAAGTGCACCTTGTCGATACTGAATTCCTTCAGTTGACATCACACAGCACATATGCACAGAATGATCACGTGCAAAACCAGCAAAGCGTGTGTTGACCACATGTCGGTTGCCAATCGACAGGTGCATCTCTACTTTCTTGTCCAGTAAATATTCATGGCTTATTTCAAGCAACAGTCAGTCTGAACAAATATTGGTCTGTATCCTCTTGTATGTAGGTTTTATATATGTACTGTAGTTTACTTTACTAATTCCTGTTGCTAAATTTTACCAAAAATGCCACAATCACACATTCTGAGAAGTATAGTTTGAGGAGTAGCTCAAGCTATTAAAAAAAGAAATCATTTTCATTCTGCTGAACATTTTTAATAATTTTATGTGTGAGTGACTGTATCCTACATTAGTTTACCAGCCCCTACTAATGATACTATGTAGTTAATTAGGAATTAAATGCCACAGAGAGGGAGTTAATTGGGTAAAGCAATCCCATGAAGATCAGCCCTCTCATCCTAGCAGCACAGCTGACCAGTAGGAGGAAAGTTAAATCTGTCAAGAGGAGCAACAATAGGGCTGAACCCCTAAGGAGTCCAGGCTTCTTTTTCTAGCAGGCACTACTACTTCGACATCTTTTATCACACGATCATCCTAAATGAGTCATCAGCAGACTGTATTAATTAAGGCCAGGGGCTTCATTTAACCAGGGTAATTATATCATAGGCAGTTGCCCAGATACGACACAAGAAGGGGGGAGAAGGTGCCCAGAGTCAATGTTTGATAAAAGTGTGTCAGATAAACAACTGAGCAATGCTGGACATCTGAGGACCTTCATATTTTAAAGCAGTTTTACCTACTGTATTTGAATGCCTCTCTGACTGATTCACTTCAGAACGCCTCCTACTGCATAACCTCTGCCCTAACCAATGTGTCATTGCCCCAGGCTCAGGCTAAAGCTGTAACGCTCTTCTTAAGATGTGAACAGTCAGTGCCAAATAAACATCTTACCTTACAGCTTTGTGTTCAAGATGTAGTAAAAACTGAGTTCCACTAACCAATATAAATACTGAGAGAAAAAAGATAGTTTGTGTCTATAAAAATCTCACAAAAAAAATCTGTTTCAGTTTTCACATTTGTGTTTTGCATTTCAACATATATTATGCCTGTATGTCATTCAAATACAGTATATTAATATGTGATGTGGTTTGTAAGTTTCATCTGTCTGTTTGTATTAATGAGAGGTGTGTTACAGTGTATATATGATAATCTCACCGAATCATCTTTTGAAGAGTGCCGAGGTGGAGGGTCGTCATCTGATGACACTTCATCTGAAGACTCGTGCTTTCGCTTTTTCTTCTTTCCAATCTTGATGACAATTTTGCTAAAAGGACAAAGTGCAACAAATAATTAGTGCCAGAGTAAAAAAAAACAACAAGGTAATACATTTTTTTAAAACATGTTTTTAACATTGGAGAAGTTTAAAGACACAGTAGACTGAAAAGTTTCAAATTTATATTCAAGGTTTACATATATACAGTACTTATACTGCAGTTATGAGCAAAAGAAACTCACTTTACATATATACAGTACTTGTACTGCAGTTATGAGCAAAAGAAACTCACAATCATGATAAACTTTGTTCTGTTTATTAGCCACTCTGTGTGAACAGATAAGGTTGTGTGCAGAGGACGCCCAACAGGAACATCATGTACAAAACAGGTGGTTCCTTTCAAGAATCATATTATTCAGATATTTCTTGATTTCATGCTTGAGCAATAATGAGATGGTCTGGTCACTCAAGGTTCACAATTAGAAATCATAGCAGACAAATGATAGATCAGCATTAGCATATGGTCGGGACAGCTGTTAGTCTGTCACTGGATTGTATCGGGGGGGGGGGGGGGATAAGACAACACTAGTGAATATTTTAACTGTATCGGTCTACGGATTAAATCAACATCCTTTTCCACACTCACATGATTTTTATTCTTTTTAAATCACCACACAGGTGAAAAGTGCTGACACTCTGACAATGACCCTGTTCAGTATTGCTGTGTAAAGATGGGGCTGGGGCTGCTGGGATAATATTGGTAACCTAGATATCAGCAGCATCACAATGTGTATTGTACAGACATAAAGAGGTCATTCTTCCTCATATACAATCACATACTGTGTCTGTGACCATTCCCCATATTTTCTCTCGACACAATTGCACACGTTCTCCATCATCTTCACCATATCTCTAGCTCTGGTCAGATGTTCATTAGAAACATTAGAAACAAACACTACTTCAGCACGGACATAACACCCCCCACACTTTTTTCCTCCAACATGGTGCTCTATATTCATAACAAGCCTACTCTCACCTTCCCACAAAGGCAAAGATGCTTGTGACGCTTACACACACACACAAACACACACACACACACACATTCACACAGATAAAAATGCAGTGAGAAGGGGATGGCCAGTGTGAGCTTGTTAATATGAGATTACACTGGAGACTCATAAAGGTCTCATACTCAAACAAAGATTATGAAGCTAGCATCGTCAGCCTGTCTCCTGTTGTCAGGCACAGACGTGAAGACCATTCCCTTCACGCTGCAATAAAACAGGTTTCTTACCCATTCAACTTTTTTTTTTCTTTATTTCTCTATTATGAAGCTATTGTTTACTTCAGGTCAAAAACTCACAGTTCATAGACTGTAATTTGAGAAAGATCTCGGGGATGAATAATTGTTAGAACTAATTAGCATTTCTGTTTAATCTATAGTATGTTAAAATAAAACACTTTTAATAATTTAACCTTAGACATCAATGAGTTGCTGTCTGTTTATAGTAAATATAAATCGAAAGTACAGTACAGTACACAAAGTTTGATCTCACAACATTCTGTTGACCTTGGACACAGACAGATGTTGTCATTTGCTCATAGACACCAAGCAAAAAAAAAAAAAAAAATATTTATTTAAAAGACTCCCACATTATTCCCAAGGGGTTTTGAAATAAACTCACAGTTCATAGACTGTAATTTGAGAAAGATCTCGGGGATGAATAATTGTTAGAACTAATTAGCATTTCTGTTTAATCTATAGTATGTTAAAATAAAACACTTTTAATAATTTAACCTTAGACATCAATGAGTTGCTGTCTGTTTATAGTAAATATAAATCGAAAGTACAGTACAGTACACAAAGTTTGATCTCACAACATTCTGTTGACCTTGGACACAGACAGATGTTGTCATTTGCTCATAGACACCAAGCAAAAAAAAAAAAAAAGAATATTCATTTTAGAGACTCTCACATTACTCCCAAGCGGCTTTGACATTAACTGTCCCTTTCCCCGAGTGGTCATGACTAGTAATCAGATAAGATGTCAGTTAACTTGGGAAGGGCTGGCTTCAAATTAATAGTTGCGTGG